GCCCCCCAGGGGCTACGGGACCCCGCCGCTGGAGCCCAAGAAGGCCTATCTGATCTACCTGCAGGCCACGAGCTACCTGAAAGGGGTGAGTCCCCGCGGGGCGGCGGGAGCCGCGGCGGCGCTGGGAAGCGGGAGGCGTCGGGAGCTCCCGGCGCTGGGAAGCGCCCGCAGAGCAGGTCTGTGTCCAGGCCTCATGGCAGCGCGGCCGAGTGCCCACGCTCCCTGCCTCTCTTCCCTCAGGAAACCCGGCTGAACTGCATCCGGATCGCCCGCAAAGGTGAGCGTCCCCGGCTGGCCCCCGACTTTTGTCACCACGTCCGTTGTGGTGACTCCTGGGGACTCTGTTGCTTGTGTTGGATGTTGGATCTGGACACACTTACATTTGGCCTTGCTAAAGGTGGGACAAAGGGATGGTGGTCGCTGCGTTTTGGGTCTCCGAGGGGCAGTGGTGCCGCTCGTGGCGCCGTGCCGGGAGCAGAGCGTGACCCGGCGTGGGGAGGGGGAAGTCACCAGCCTTTCCTTCTGCTCCGGGAATTTCACCAAACAAACCGCCTGCTTCGATCTTTCCAGGGATTGGCACGTTGTGGCCTTGTGTCCTTAATAAAGCTCCTTCTGCTTGCTGGATATATTTAGCTCCCTATTGGATTTGGGGATGGGGAGAGGGGAAAAGAAAAAGCAATAAAGTGACTTAAAGTCCTGGCTCAGTGGGAAATGAAAAACGGGTATAAATGCTTGTCTGAATAGCACAGAATATTAACGAGGGACAAAAGGGGATTTATAACCTGCTGATATCTGTGTTGGAGCCGGATGCGGCGCCGACTGTCTGGAGGCAGTCGGGGAAGGCAGGATGCAGGACTGGCGCGGATCGGCCTGGCGGGGTTGGGGGTGTTAAGCATCCCATGGGCCTTTCCGGAAGGGAAAGGGGCTCGGATCCCCTGTGCTGGCGCGTGCCGCTCCATGTATGCGGGATGGGGGGATGTTTGTGCATTTTGGGCACGTTGCTGTGCCCCGCGGCCACGTAGGCTGATGCGGATGCTGTGGGCAGCGTTTTCCGCCCTCCTTCCCCTATGTGTTCCCGCTGTTTTCTCGGCGTGCGATCTGATGTTGCCACTTGGGTTTAAGCTTCCTTGGCTCCCTCTCTGGGAGAGGGAAGAAAGTAGGTCGGAGCTGAGCTGACCCTCCTGCCCGTGTTGTTTCTGTCGGCAGCTGCCTGCAAGGAGAGCAAGCGTCCCCTGGAGGTGTCGCAGCACTCGGAGGAGATGGGCCTCATCCTGGGCATCTGCGCCGGGGGCCTCGTGGTCCTCATCATCCTCCTGGGAGCCATCATTGTCATCATCCGGAAAGGGTGAGGAACCCCAGCGCACTCGGCCATTGCCGGCCCGTCGCACAGGGCGCTAGGGCGCCCGGCTGGAGGCGTCTGGTTTTCACCCCTTTTCCTTGGTGGAAGGGGCGATGGCAGGGGCGCTGCCCATGTCGGAGGCTCCCTGGGCTCTCCATGGCCCTCACCGGCCGCAAGGTCCCTGCGCCGCAGGGCGGGAGCGTCCGGCCGTGCCGGTGTCACCGTGGGCGCTCCTGCGGGAGCTGCCGAGGCAGCAGGAACACCTGCCTGCGAGCCGGGAGCAGCCCCGGGCAGCCCGGGGCATCTTCCTCCTCTCCTCCTCCTCGGCGTCCCGCTGCTGCGTGCGTCTCCTCCCGTGCTTTGTGCTAGGGCAGGGACAAGGACGAGGAGGAGCCCTCGCCTCGGAGAGCGCTCCTGTGCGCCCGCGCTGCCGGTCCCAAGGAGGGATTTGCAGGAAACTTTGCGTGGCCGCCGGTGTGTCCGGCAGCTCGGGCTCCATCCTTGCGGAGCAGCAGCATCCGCCCTGTGAGAGCCACTTGCAGAATCCCCCTCTCCTGGAGAGGCCAACAGGAGGATCCGGCGCTTTCCAAAGCCGCCTCCTGATCCTGGACGGGTGACAGTGTTTCCGCCTGGGAAGAGCTGCCCCAAGAACAGGCCAGGACGAGAGGGGTCACGTACAGCCCCCTGCCCTTCCCCGGAGATGGGGAGCCCCATCCCTGTGGGAGTGGGGTCCCATCCTGCTCCCCCTGGCTTGGAAACAGAGGCTGCGAGTCCTGCCCGCGCTGGAGGGGCTGTTTTCCTGGCGTGGCTGCCGCGCTCGGGCCGGATGCTCTCCAATCCCAGCACGTTGCCAAAATCAAATCTGTCCATCACGGGGGGAAAAGGACGTTTTGGGGGGATGCAAGTGGTGTCTGCCTGGATACCCATCACCCCAGTGCCTTTGTTTGGGAAGCGAAGTGGGTCAAGAGCCCACGCGAGGGAAGCCAGCAAGGGCTTTCCGGGCCACTCGGTGCCAGGGGCCTCGGGAAGCTGCTGCCGCTCTGAAAGGCGTCCGCGCGCTCCGGGGCCCCGAGGGCGGCGATCGGAGTGGGGCACGGAAGGGTGGCAATTAGAGCGCTTCCCCCCGCAGGGCTCCGGAGCCGTTCCGGGAAAGCAAGGGAAGGGCTGGCGGGAGAGCAGCGCGGCGGGTGACCGCGGCGTGTGCGGCTCCCGGGCCCGCCGAGCTTTGCTGCCGCCCGGGGTTGGGCTCTTGGCGTAGCAAACGGCACCGGCCGAGCTGGGCGCGGGGGCCCGGAGGCTCCCCAGGAGATGCTGCCCGGTCTCTGCTAAGCTGCTGCATCTTGGGGAGCCCTTTGCATTCCCAGCTTCCAAAATAGCCGAAGGCTCCTGCTCGCCCTGCTCCTCCTGCCCCCTGCGCTGTCCCTGGCCCTTGGCAGCCCTAACCCTCCCCTTGGTTATTCCTGAGCCTGGTGAAAAGCTGCTTATGCAATTTCTGCTCTTTGTTTGCACGCTCGCCAGGAGGAACTACTATTCTTATTCCTATTACCCGTGAGTAGCTGTCATCCTTCCCTTCTCCTCCCTTGCTCCCCTCCTTGCTCTGCTCCTCCAAGAAAGCTTTTCTCCATCGAGGGTGTTTTCGGGCCCTCTTTGGCTTGAGAAGATGCTGCTGCTGAACTAGAAAGAGCCCCGAGGCACTGGGAGCAATGAGGGGTCCGGTTTCCAGTCCGGCACTGGGAGCAATGAGGGGTCTGGTTCCCAGCCCGGCTCCACGGCGGAAGCCGAGTGGAGGGCTCTGGGTTGGAGGTTGGAGCATCCTACAGGATCCCGGCCCTGCCGGGAGCACCAGTCCGTGGGGCTGAAGCCTGCAGCGCTCCCCGCCATGGGAGCAGGATCGGGCTCGGGATTTGGGAACGGGGGGGCTTGGAGCGGGGGAGCTTCCAG